CCAAACCCCCAAGAGGCCTCAAGAGGATCCCCGAGGCACCCAAGACGCTCACAAACATCCCTGGGTCCGCCAAATGGGCCCCCCAAACAAAAAAGCGCCAAGGAGCCCCGGAGACAGCCAAGAGGCACCCAAGACAGCCTGAGAGACCTCCAAAGCAGCCGCCCGAACGTCCACAAGGCTTTTTGGCTTTCTGTTTGCTCTATTCCTCCTCCTGCTTCTCATCTGTTGTCTCCTTCTCTTTAAATATCCTCTTCCTCCTGCTCCTCCCCCCCCCGTCCTCCTCCTCCCCCTCCCAGTCGGCGCTGGAGGCGCAGGCATTTGGAGCCCCGACGGACGGAGAATTTTCACTGAAACTCACGCACACGACTTCCGCCCCATACATTTCCCACTTATGGGCCAAAGAGGGAGCATGGGGGGAGGAGGAACGACGGAGAGAAGAAACACAACAATCCCTGCAACCATTCACATACCGTACCTTTTTGCGACCTGCTCTCGCGTGACGGGGTCGTAAATCTGGTGATGGATTTCTCTTCTGCCGCAACTTTCCAAAAGTCTATGGATGATTGGACTGTGACCTTGGAACGAACGACGAGCCAAACAAAAAAGAGGACGGATCCGCCGTACCCACGCTCGGAAATTGCACGTCGCCAGGCTTGGCATTTGCGAAAAATTGGTTGATCAAGTGCCGTCGCTGGACAGCAGTTGCCAGAAGGAAGATGGAGGCCCCGAGGTTCGGAGGCAACCGGAGGGTGCCAATGAAGACTTTCAAAAACCATAAACGACTCAGAACATTCGGAACAGATGCAGCATGATATTGAAGAACAATCGCTCCCATGGAGTCCAATTGGGCTTGCGTTGCATTCATTTGTTCGCCGGCGAGCGAAGATGGACGACAACGGTTCGAGGGAAGATGGGGCCCTGCGGCTCGGAGGTCATCGGCTGCGACCGATGAGGAACCTCACAAACCATAGGCCCCTGCCCTGCTCTCCATGTGATGGAAACTTCACGTGCCGCATCTACCCAGATTCCGATGGAAGTCTGCAGTGCGGCCTTGAAACACATAAAAGGAGACAGAGAAGCAGAGAACGATGTCTTGGGAAGAATTGGCACTGGAGATAGGAGATCAACTTCTCCAATGGAACAATCGCCAGAGGGAGGGAAGATGGAGGATCCGAGGTTCGGAGGCCACTGGCCGCCGCCAGTGGTGAACCTCGAAAACCCATGATCAAGATGTTGGCAAAGCGGAATCTACGGCAGGAAGTTTCCGAGGTACTTATGAACAGTGCAAGTTCTTTGCTTAGGGTGCGAGAAATTCAGCAAAAAATGCTCCCTAGTCTCACACAGCAGGAAATCGAGCATGCGCTGACAGAATTAGAAGCATCGGGTTTCTTCACAAGAATGGAGGAGGCAAAGTCAAATTGAGCCCGGCAGAGATGATCCAGCTCCAGAATGCGATTTTATACCAAATCGAAGGTGTTGAAGAAGAGCAAAATATGGTCCGCGACGTAGTGATGACAAACATTGGCAAAGTTGTTTCCGCGGTGGAAATTCAGCAACAATTGGCTGTCAGAGGCATGAACCGTACTTGCTTATAGAATTGAAGACGCCGTTTCAGAGTGGGTATCCTTGGGATTCGTTATCCAAAAAGGGGGACAAATGCACATTCGCATACCTATAATTACCTTGAGCGGAGATGTCCTGCCACTTTTCTGCATGCGCCGCATGTACTCTCAGATGTTCTGAGAGGTAGTACATGTGACCTTGCAGAGGACAAGGAGAGCAGAGGTTGTGCATCTCTGAGCGCGTTTGGCGCGGGTAGCATGTGTCTCGGCGCTGCGAGAGCTGAAAGCACTAGCGAAGGCTCTCGGAATGCAGGAGCTTCTAAGGAGGAGGCGGGGGGGGGAGGGGGAGGGGGCTCTGTTCGAAGCGTGGGCACGGCAGGATGCAGGTAGAATCTTACTCAAGCCCCTCAAAATTTCTTGGTGTGTAGGGGCCTCTTGCATTCTCTCCCCCACCCGTCTCTCCCCTGCGTCGGCTCCCAGTCTCTCGTCCTCGGTCCATCTTCTGCACGTGCCGCATGTATCCCCAGATTTTCGGGTGTCGCAAGCGTGACCTTGCAGAGGACGAACAAACAAAAAAACAGAGGTTGTGCATTTCTGACCGCGTTTGGCGCGGGAAGCAACATCTGAGCGTGCTTGGCGCGGGAAACATCGGTCTCGGCGTAGTGAGGGCAGAGAGCACTGGCGAGGACATCTGGGAGTGGTGGAGTTTTTGTGGCGGTGGGAGTGGAGGGGGGTGGGCGTGTTTCGGAATGCAGGAGCTCTGGCGCACAATCAGGGAACCCCGTGCTTAGGAACCCTGCTCGCTGGCGCCTCCCCAGAGCGGGCACGCGAAGAGGCCAGCAGCTGTGCCCCCCGCACTGACCCGTAGGGACTCGTCTTAATCAGCGAGCCTCTCTAACGGGGCCACCTCGGAGCTCGCCTCCTTGAGCTTCGGGGTATGCCCCCCTGCCAGCCCGTGAAAAGTCTGGGTGTGCGGCATACTATAATCGCAGAGGGATTTGCAAGTCGTGCCCCGCAACTCCTTTGCGGGCGTTTCGGCGTTGACCCCCTTGTGCGGATGTCCTGTCCTGTCCTGTCCTGCCCTCCCCATCCCCCACCTCCTCCTCTTCCTCCTCATCCTCTTCCTCCTCCTCTTCCTCTTCCTCCTCCTTCATTTTCTGCTCCTCCCTCCTCATTCGACAATGAACTGTTCACGTCATCGTTCGAACTTGGGAACTTTTTTTCGGGGGGTCAGCGTGCCTGGTTCAGGAGCAGTGTGAAAGAGTGCCTGGCAAAGGCGCTGACATGGCTGTACACGGCATGCGTCATGTCTGCCTCTGCTGACTACGAGGCCGCTTCCATCATGGTCAGCCTGGACCTCAAAACATGCATTTCGTGCGACCATCACGGAGATGGCCCTCTGCCTTGCTGGGGACGAAGCCTGTATATCAGAGGTGATCCAGCACCGCCGGGAAAACAGAGGAGGGCGAGGACGGGGGGGAGCGAGGGGGGGGGGGGAAGGAGCGCGATGCGGGCACCCCGTCAGTAGTCTGGACAAAAACGTTGTGTGGGCACTCCATATGATCAGGCCAGCCCTTTATATTGAAACGCACAACGGTATCCAAGACACAGGCCAATACGAATTCACCCGAAATCGTATCAGTGGAGCCTGGAGGGCCGGGAGGACCCGAGGGGAGGACAAAAGGAGGAGGAGGAGGAGGACAAAAGGAGGAGGAAGAGGCAGATAACAAAAGAAATGTGTACGTAACCGCTCACTCTGGCGAACCTTCGAATTAAGAGCTGTTTACGTGATGCCGTTCGCTCTTGGGAGCCGTGGCATGTATAGCTGTTACGTCACCGATCGCTTTTGGTAGCCTGGGCATTCGAAACTTTATAGCGCACTGCTCGTTTTTGAGACCCTTGTCGTTCAAAGATGGTAACGTCATCGACTCGTGCGCACAAGGCTTTCCTTTCACCTGGTGCTCTTGGGAACCGTTGCGTCGAAACTGCGTCCGTCATTGGACGGGCATTCCCGCATCTGCAACATCTGCGGACATTGAGCTGCGAGCATGGGGTTGGAACAACATCTGCGGATTCTTCTACAACAAAGTTCCGGCGTGGGCACGATGCTAAACGCTCCGTCCCCCACGCCTTAAATCACGCAGGGCCAAAGGCAACTAAGAGGCCAATCAGTTGACCAAGATCGAGCGCGGGGACAGAATATCCTGGCTCCACAATTGCAGGCCCACCAGACTGCACGGCCCTGGCCTTCGAAACAACAACGCACTGTACGAACATGATTTAGCATCTTATGGCACTTATCATACTGGCACTGAGAGCTCGACATCAGAGTGAGGGGGCCGAACGGTCATTCACTGTCCTTGGGTGCGTGGCTGAAGCAAGCTTCCGCGGTGCGGATTGTTGAAATCTTATTCGTGAAGTGCCCCCCTCGGGGCTCGCACCCTGGCTAAAACCTTCATGCTCAAACAACGGCTCCCGCGTGATGCTCCCCCTCAAAGTATTATAGAATCGCGCTCTCGCGCAGGACTTACTTACGCACAATGTATGCAGGAATCGCTTCAGCTTCAGCAGCCCGCCTGCTCGACCTGGCTGCCTGCGCCCGCCTTCACTACCCGCCCGCAAGGGTCTGCCCGCCCGATCTGCACGTCTGGTTCTACCACGTATTTTCTGCTCCTAGCCCGCCTCCTGCTAATTTCTCTCGTGCTCCATCCTACTCCCTTCCCCTCCATCCGTCATCTCTTCCCCTGTTTTAGGAGCTACACAATATGCAAGTGGCAGGTAAGGAAGATATGCCCCCAAGGGAACACGATCGAAAACGAAGAAGGCGGGTACCGAGGGTTGGGGATATACGGCAGACTGAAAACGAGTGTTGCTGATGATGTTGCTGACGTGAGTGTTGGTATGTGTGTTGTTGTTGTCGTTGTTGGTGCTGTCGGTGATGTTGGTGTTGTTGTTGGTGGTGCTGCTTTTGTTTGTGTTGTTGGTGATATTGTTGATGTAGATGTCGATGCTGATGCTGGTATAGCTGTAGTTGTAGTTGTGATTGCTGTTGTGGCTGTTGTTGTCGTTATTGCTGTTGTTGTTGTTACTGTTCTTGTGCGGTGTTTGTTCTGGTTGTTGTTGTTGGTGGTGGTTTGCAATGTGTTGTTTGGTGTCGTCGTCCCGCCCGCGACGCAACCCGCGACCCACCCACGACCCACCCACGACCCATCCGCGACCCACCCCGCGACCCACCCGCGACCCGCCCACGACCCGCCCGCGACACACCCCGCGACCCGCCCGCGACCCACACGCGACCGACGCGCGACCCACCGCGCGACCCACGCGCGACCCACCCGCGACCCACCGCGCGACCGACGCGCGACCCGCCCGCGACCTACTCGCGAGCGCACCCGCGACCCACCCCGCGACCCACCCGCGACCCATCCGCGAGCACATCCGCGACCCACCCCGCGCTCGCCCCTCACTCTCATCCTTAACTGCGGGGTGCCACATATTGCATGGACTGCGAGGGCTGTGCAGCAAGGACTGTCCTGAGCACGGCCGTGCGCGCCTCTCGCGACTGAGCCCCAGTGGTGGCAATGTATTTCCAATCGCTGAGGCAAGAATGGCGTCGAACCCTGATGGCTGGGGCTCAGTCTCAAGTGCAGCAAATGTCATACAGTGTGAACCAATACTCTGCAATTGTGCAGCATGTGTTTAGGAACAGCACCGTGCTGCGGCGCAGGGGAAAACCGTGGGACACACAACTGCGTTCAGAGAAGAAGAGGCAGCGAGCAGGCGAGGACCGAGCGGTGAATCAGACTGTAAAAGCCCAGGCGGCCGCAGGAGCCAAGTCACCGCGCGCCAGCGCTCGCGCTCGCCCTCGCCAGGGCGGTGGCTTTGCGGAGGCTGCGCCACGAGAAGTGCTTCTGCTTCGCCTTGTTGTCGGCGGCCCGCGTCCTCCCTGCCGAGGTGCAAATGTGACAAAATTTGCAGAATTCCCTGTTTCTGCAGCCGCGCTCCGCGAACAGGCAAGGGCGGCACCTGCCCGTCGAATGCAGGATAGACCCCCACGTCGGGCCCAAGTCAGAGGTGGCTCCCTCAGCGACACGCGATGTCGTCGAGACGGGCCCGGACGCCTCCGCGGGCGCGGAGCATCGCTCCGTCGCTGTCGCGGGAGCCGAACTGGAGCGCACACGTGTGTCCGGACCCACGACTGGCACGTGCAAGAACGTGTTGAGAACTCGCAGGCCGTCCTCCACCACCGCCCGGTCGACGGGCGCCCGGTCCCGGGCGCAGGCGCCGCCTCCCCCGTCAGCGGCGTCCTCCGGCAGGACACCCGCGGGGGAGGCACCACCCGGCCGCCCACCCCTGGCCATCTCGCTGCGCTCGCCGCCCGCCTTTTTTGGAGGGCAGGACCCCGCCCCGCTTGGGCGCTGCGAGCGTGGATGCGCCTTCAACGCACCCCTCGAGACCCAAACTGCCTGAGCCCAAATGCCTGCGGTGAGGACAATCAATGTTTTTGGCCTCCTCAGGCCGCCTCGGGGGTCCGCTTAGGATGCTCGTGGGCCGTCCTCAGAGCCTGTTGGGCCGACTTGGGGAGCTTCAATCGGTTTGGGGCCCGTCTGTGGGCCTCTTGGGTCCACCTTGGGGCCTCCTATGGCACTCTTGGGCTTTCCTGAGTTTCTTGGGGCCCTCTTCGGACCCGCTTGGGGCTCTCTGTGCCCGTCCTGTGGACCTCTAGCCGGCCGATCTGACTAACTCTTCTCGGCGCGCATCGAAATCCGCCGACCCCTTGTGGGTCTCTAGGCGTGTGAGATTCTCCCCCCCCCATAAGGCCCCCCCTGGGACCCCAAACCAGAAATTTGATCCCCCCCCTTTGGCCGCGCACGACCCCCGGCCGAACTCACCAGGGAGGTCTGGCCCTCCCCAGGCTCGCTTTGGAGCTCCAGGCCCGGGGGCGTTCCAACAGGTCCCAAACACGGGCCCACAGGGCCCGTCGTCGCCGAAAAATCGTTTCAAAATGCCCGCGATGGCCTCCAGACGGCCCAAGATGACCTCTAGACGGCCCAAACTGGCCTCCAGAGGTCTTCCAAGACGGCCTCAGAAACAAACATCGCCCTACTCCTTACGGAGAACGTATATTGCACATCCGCCTCCTGGGTGTTCGGTACGCCCAAGACGGCCCAAAGGGCCCCCAGGAGGGTTCCAAGACGGCCCAAGAAGGCCCCTAGACTACTAAAAAGAAACCCCAGACGGCCCAAGAGGCCCCAGGACGGCCCAAGGGGAACCAGCATGAAAATGTCTTGCCTTCCGCTCCAAGATGCCCCCAGGTTGCCCCAAAGAAACCCCCAAGAGGTCCCAGGAAGCCCCCAGGAAGCCGCAACGAGGCCCCCAAACACCCCCAACAGCCTCCCAGAAGCCTCACAAGAAACCAACAATTGCTTCCAATACGGTCGTAGAATGCAGTCCTGGACGCGCAGTAGTTTATAGAGGGGTCGGCGGATGTGGTTTAAGCCTGTAGAATACAATGAAACGTGCTCCAAGCGCCATGCCCACGCACGTGACAGCTCCTGGGACAAGTGAAAACGCGAAAGAGATGCGGCCTCAGGGTTGCGAAAGCCGCGTTTCGGAGCAACCCTCACGCATTTCCTGTCTGACTTTATTCTGGGACGCGTGAAAATACAAATGAGTAACGCCTTCATGGCTACGGCACTGCCATTTCGGCACACCCCTCACGCATTTCCTGCTCCACACTCTACCGGGACACGTGAAAATACAAGTGATCTGCGCTACGACGGGCTCAATTTTCGACACCTCTCACGTATGTCTTTCCCTATACTCTACTGGGACACGTGGAAATACGGATGATCTGCCCTCTCAGGCTCCGGAGACACGTGAAAAACAAGTGATTTGGGTCTCGAGGCTCCTGGGAGACGTAAACATAAGTGTGGTTTGTCTTCAACTTTGATGGGAATCTTAATTCGACACACCCATCGCGCACTTCGTGAATGTTGGGTGTTCCGCTGGACCCCAAGACGGCTCCTTGATGCCTTAATTCGGCTAAGGGGCGCAAATACGCCCCCAAGAAATATTGCGACGGTTGGTACCGACCCTCGTCAAACAGTATCCCTAACACCCACTGGTTGCAAAATCTGCGTGCAAATTTGCCCCTGGGAGCCTGCCGTGACTTCCGCTCTGCGGACTCAATAACTCAACTCGCGAAACACCTGCGAGTGATGAGCCATGTTGGACAGTGATGCAGTCGCCGTCTTCGTTCGCTCTCATTGTCAATGCCATCGCCTTCGCTCGAATTCAGCCCTGGCATCGGTACTAGTAAGCCTTGTCCTTCACTTACTACTGCGCCTACCCTCTCTGCCACCCTCGACGGATCCTGACCAAAGATGACAGTCTGGGTCACCGCCATGCTCGCCACCTCCTTGGCGCCGCCGTTGTCGAAAACCCTGTAGAGGCCCCCCATCCACCTTCTCTTCATCCTCCTCCTTCTCCTTCTACTCCTCCCCCGTCTCCCCCTTGTCCATTCCCACCCCTCGTCCTTCATCCTCCCCCGACCTCCCTCCTCCTTTCCTTCTCTCTCGTTGTACGATGGAGGAGCGAAGGAGGGGGGAGGAGGGAAGGCGGGAGAGATGTGGCTCGTCCGTCATCCCTTTCCTGCTCGTGCTGCTTCTGCTCCATTCTGGACCTGCGGGGGGTAACTCCTTGCCGTAACTCACATTCACTCCCCTCGGCCGCTCGTCTCCATCTCCCCCATTCTCCCCTCGCCCCTCCAACAACCACTACCTCCAGTTCTCATCCCCCTGCCTCCCCTCCCATATGTGCTCATGCTGGGCGCGATTCTTCAAACTGTACCGCACTCGGGGTGGGCAGGCGTGGACGGTTCTGGCCCTCCTCCTCCTCCTCCTCCTATTCCTCTTCCTCTTCCTCCTCCTACTCCATCCCTGTTCCTGATCCGCCGACCCTCGGTTGCCAGGGGGGACAAGGCGTGTGAGATAAATTTCTGCCCCCTCCACGTTTCCTCGCCCCACAAGTCCAACATCACATTTGAGCCCCCCCCCCTTGGGGGAACGAGCTCGCCAGCGCAGTCCGGAGGCCTACAGGGCCTCCAGAGAGCTCAAATACGGCCCAGGAGGGCCCAAGCAGAGCGCCGAAACAGTCCAAGAGAGCGCCGAGACGACCCAGGGTAACCCTGCGACGGTCCAAGATGGCTACACGACAGCCCACGAGGCTCCCAAGACGGCCCAAGAGTGCTCCCAAAGGACAGCCGAAAGGGCCACAAGAGCCCACATCGTCCCATTCCCACGGGCAAACGCACATGTTCGACAAACCCGGTTTTCCGTCCTGACAGTGTCCAACATGGCCCAAGGGGCTCCCAAGATCGTCCCAGGAAGGCGTATGAGGCCCTCAAGAGGGCCCGAAGGCGGCCAATAAATACAGCCCAAGACTGGCCCAGGGAGCCCTAAGAGGGCCCTCGAATGTCCCGAGTAAGGCCCAAGAGGAGAAATACAAACTGACATCACGGAGCCTTTCCCCCCGTCATGGCCCCGCGACACACCCGCAACCCAATCGCGACCCATCCGCGACCCACCCCGCGACCCGCCCGCGACCCGCCCACGACCCACCCGCGACACGCCCGCGACCCACCCGCGACCCACCCGCGACCCACCTGCGACCCACCCGCGAACCAACGCGCGACCCCCGCGCGACCCACCCGCGACCCGCCCGCGACCCGCCCGCGACCCACCCAGAACACACCCGCGACCCACCCCGCGACCCACCCGCGACTCGCCCGCGACCCACCCGCGACCCAACCCCGCGCCCGCCCCCTCACTCTTACCCGCAACTGCGGGGTGCTACATACCTACTTTTAACGACCCGAGTGTACCCTTTCCTCCTCTGACTCCCGGCCCTCCAGGAGAGCCCAGAATCGAATCGACAAGTCGGATCGGCGATCGGAATGGATCGGATCGGCGGAAATCGGCAGCCGAGTCGGGAAAAGTCGAATCGGCAGATATCGGCAGGCAAATAGGCCTCCATTGAGGAATCAGAACCCCCATCGGCATTCCAAGTCGAATCGCATCGGAATCGGAGGCCACCGAAATCGGATCGAATCGAATCGGAGGAGTCGAAACGAGCCCCGGCCCTCCCTCAAACGTCTCGTCCCCTCCACGCCCCCACGGCGCCCCGGAGGCGCGGCCTATGGGCAGGGGCTCTCCCCGCCCATCTGGGGGCCCCACGCTGCAAGTGGAGCGGGGGGGGGGTCTGGAGCGGCTCCCCCCAACAGGCCGTGGGGACAGGATGTGGAGGTGTTCGCCGACTGCGCTGGCGGGGGGGGGGGGGTGGCCAGGGGGGAGACGTGGGGACAGGAAGGAAGGAGGGGGTGCTGAGGGGTGAAGGCGGAGCGGAGAGACGGGGCAGAGGGGGGGGGGGTTCTGGAT